TCAAGCTCTAGCCTCTCCTCAGTGCTTTCAGGGTCCAGTTAGCCCACTCACTTCCCTTTGGTCTCCCAACCTTAGGGGCCCCTGCTCTCTGCAGTTACTCTCTCTTGTTGCCGAATGCTGGTGAAGCAGTTCCTGGTTCTCTCTGTTAGAACAACCAGTGTGGTTTCTATTTTCTTTCTGGATCCTGGCCGATATACCCTCTTTGCTCCAGGGAGTGAAGAGTTCTTAAGTTCCTCAGACCACTGAGGTTTTGCTCCTGAATTCCCACATTCAATTCTCTCTGCTAGAAATTTTTTTCTGTCCGTGTTCCCCCTCCAGCCCTCTTTTACCATTTACCTCTCAGCTTTTGCCTAGGTAACTCCTTCTTGAAAAGTCACTTTCTCCGGGATCCTTCCCAGACCCTAGACCAGATTGAATCTCCATTGTCTCCCTTTTATAAGATCAGTTACCTCACTTTCTTGCCCAATGTCCCTCTTCTTTCCTGCCTCCATGCAATGAGAGATCAGGAGACGTATCTTTTTCCTACCTAGTATCAAGCACATTGTAGGCAATCAACAAATATTGATTGATTATTGGTTAAGCTAGCTTCTTATAATTTAAAAAATTGGGTTAAATTTTTCAGCTAAATTATAATTTAAAATTTTAATTTTTTCCCTTCCTTCTTTCATCACTTCCTTCCTTCCTTTCTTCTTTCTTTTTTGTAGAGGATTGAATTCCTTTAAAATCCCTATCAGGGCTCCCTCTCATTCCTGTTGCCAAGTTGCCCTAAGTAAATATATTCTCTAAGTAAACACTCTGTGCTCACTAAGCAAATACTGTGGTAAGGAAAGTCCTCTAATTTTCCTTCCAACCTGATGACTATCCCAAGCTTCTCCTCTGTAGAACTTCTGGAACTGTTACGGCTTTTGCTTCTCGACTTTAATTTTCTGTATGGCCGCTAGTTCCTTCTCCTGCCATGTCTAGGATTCTGGTTCATACATTCTTTTTTCCCCTACAGATCTACAAGTACATAGGAGGGCTACTTTTAACTCACTTGATGCACTTCTTCCTGGTCCCAACTACCTCAGATGATGGCTCTCTGCTATTAAAGAAGAGGCCAAGTAAAAAATTTACAAAGTTGTTGACATTTCTATGTTAAGGAGAATATCTGAGGAAATATTCTTTGTGGCTCAAAACAAAAAAAAAGAATAGTGCTTTTGTGATTGTTGCCAGTACTGTTTTCATACACACCTGCAAAATAAAAGTTTTATTTACACGGCTCCCCTTTCTTCTTTCTCCGCACCACTAACCCATGGCTGTGGTAGGCCCAAGTGCATCTTACCAAGTGCAGGTAAGAGCAGCTCTTGCCCCACCACACAGTCCATTTCCTCTCTTTGCCCCATCTTCTCTCAAGAGAACTAAATGAAAATCTAATTTATTAGTAGGTACTATAGGGCTAAGGAAGTCAATTTTAAGCAAACTGTGCATTTGAACTAGAATTTTCTTTTTTCTTAATGTTTATTTTTGAGAGAGAGACAGAGTGTGATTAGAGGAGGGTTAGAAAGAGAGGGAGAGAGAGAGATCTGTCAGCACAGAGCCCGATGTGAGACTTGTACTCACAAACTGCGAGATCACGCTCTGAGCCCAAGACAGACGCTCAACTGACGGAGCCACCCAGGCACCCCTTGAACTAGTATTTTCTAATGTCACTATTCCTAAATTGTGCCCTTTGCTATGACTCAGCAGCAAAAGAACAGATATTTGATATCTTTTTTTTTTTTATTGGACTGCTGAGAATTTGCAGTACTTCTGAAGATCCTGTACTTGATGGTGATCAAAAACAGCTTCAGAGTCTCAGATTTAATTAGTGTGGCCTTAACCCGAAAGAGAAATCCAATGATGTTTTTTAGATATTTGGAGCCTGAGGTAGCCTCTGGGGCTGATACAAATCACTACTTACTTTATTTTGAATAAAGTCTGCCCAGAAAAACAATCTTGAGTGCATTACAAACATTTGCCCTCTAATGGGCTCCTACCTTTTTCTCCACTCATTTGGTTAGACAGAGAGGAATATGTTTTCATAATATTATCACTTACTGACCTGTTATTATGTGCCAGGTAACGTATAGATACTCTCTCACACAATCCTGATGGCATTGTAAACTAAGTATTACAATCTCCAGGTTTTTTTTTAAATTTATTTCTAGGAGAGAGAGAGAGAGACAGCGTGAACAGGGGAGGGTCAGAGAGAGAGGGAGACTCTGAAACAGGCTCCAGGCTCTGAGCTGGCAGTCAGCACAGAGCCCGACGCGGGGCTCGAACCCACGAACTTCGAGATCATGACCTAAGCGAAAGTCGGACGCTTAACCGACTAAGCCACCCAGGCGCCCCTCCAGTTTGTTTTTTAGGAAACACAGTTTAGACTGGTAATTTTTTAAATTAATTTTTAAAATTTACATCCAAGTTAGTTAGCATAGAGTGCAATAATGATTTCAAGAGTAGATTCCGAAATGCCCCTTACCCATTTCCCCCATCCCCCTTCCCACAACCCCTCCAATATGGTTAAGTAATTTTCTAAAGTTACTGGTTAGTTAAGTGGCCTGTTTGGACTCCAGCTCTTTACCCTTTACCTCTTCTCTACTATGTTGTACTGTCTCATTGTTTCTCTAGTGTGGAGCTTGATTCACAACTAATTATATGATTTATTTGTAAGCATATATATATTAAATGTTTTTATTTATTTTTGAGAGAGAGAGTGTGAGTGGGGGCAGGGCAGAGAGAGGGAGACAGAGGATCCAAAGAGGGCTCTGCACTGACATCAGACAGCTTCATACTGTCCTTGATCTCATGAACCCCGAGATCATGACCTGAGCCAAAGTCAAATGCTCAGCCAACAGAGCCACCTAGGTGCCCCTAGGTATCTTTACCTTTACTTTCTGACAGGGTTCAAGATTACTTAATGGAATTTTAACCAGACTCTGATCTACAAATCCAAGTATCCTGCTTACATTCTTGAAGATTGGGCTTCAGTAATTTTATAGGCTCTGGTGTTTTATACTATAAATAAATTTTGTTCTGATTGTTTTCAGTGAGACTAAGCAGACTATTTCCCTGCCACTTTTATTCTAATTATCCCCCTGATTGTTATGGAAACAAAGAAACAGAAAGCCTTTAAACCTATAGAAGGTGCAAACCCTGGTAAACAGCACATTGCTCTTCTGTAGTGTGTAAATACACATAGGTATCAGATATTAACTGATCAGATAGGTATCAGTTAATAATAATATTAACAAATTAGCTTTCAAAGCATTTGCCAAATTTAGGACTTCTTTACTAAATGGTATATTCCTAGATGAAGTTAAAAGAAGTTCTCTTCTGATTCTTCCAGTAATCTTTTACCTAGGCAAGAATTGAGATTAGTGGAACTGTGACAAAATGCTAATTTTTCAAACCCGAGGTCATTTTGAACAAAATGCTAAGTATTCAACCCCCTGGCCATTTTGAACAGGATATAGTGGTGTGCCAGAGCCTGCTCACAGTGGCTCACAAGAGCAGATGGTTAAATACTGAATAATTTTGTGAGCTGGTTGTTAAACATAGCCATTATTAAAAATTGAATTATAAAAACCTACGATCAAATCAATTACGTTAAAAAAAACAAAGGCAGTAAATACTCAAAATGTATTACTTCCTAATTAATTTACTACATTGTACTATCATCTATGCTTTTGACATAATTTATGTCTATTATATCTGTATGGTAGAAATTCCATATAAAGTTATGCTACTGTATATTTCTTCCCAGCTCTGTCTGAGGGATGGATGTTAGTAGCTTGAACTCCATGATTGTGGAAGTACTTAAATTACAGAAACTGGCAAACATTACATATCATAGTTTTATGTACTGAGGTATTTTTTTTTTGATGGCCTAGACTTCAGAAAATGATGGAGGAAATGTTAATACTGCAGATCAAATTGGAAAGTATACAATATCTGTAGTTGTTATATTGTGACTAGTGCAAACTCTGATGACACATTCATCTAGTATTTGCAGACTATTAGGAGATTCAGCAGGAGAAACATCTGTGTCATTGATAATGAGTGAAGTTCCAAGTTATTTCTTTGGGGTTTTTACTTTCATATTGTTTGTTAAGGTAAATAAAAACATTAACCAATATTCATGTCGGAAATATATTCATTCATGGATAGTAACCAGAGATCAATTGTGGATTTAAGATTTTGGCAAAAATTGACCAAAAGTCTACCGTGAACATAAATTGGCTATATGAAATTTGAAGACAAAAAAGTTTTTGATATTCTAGTACTATTTGTAATTTGTATGCTACAGATTCTTTATATCAATAGAATTTATCATAAACAATAAACATGCACACATACATTTTTTTTTCCTTCTAGAGAGTCTGTTGTTAAATGTACCAGCATACTACCGACAAGAGGCACACGCAAGCCTTATCCAGATTCCGGTTTATTCTCTCTCAATTGTGAGTTTACTGTCTGCATCTATGGGGCTGAGGATTGTCCTTCGCCACTGTCAGTTAGAGTATTAGTACAGGTAGTTTAAGAAAAGCGTGTCTTACAAAGGCTCCTGGTGAAATCTATCATGGAATATTAAAAGTCTTCTAAATGTCAGTGGATGATTTCCCCAGAATGGACAAACCCTCATCCTGCAAATCTTTGGCAAACTTCCTTCCTCCTGGAGCACTCAGTGTATGGGATATCTATAGCATCCAAGGGAGCTTTAAATTCCCTGTTGACTTTTGTTTTCTTCTGGGTATAGTTAGTGTATTGAAAAGCATGTGAAGTTTTTCAAAATACTTCCTTAATCTTCACAGGCTTTGGTCACCAACTGTCAATGTTGCAAATCTTGAGTGGTAGAATATGGAAGAGATGTTTTCTTTATTTTCAAAATGTTAAATTTCTACTTTTCCTTTCTTGTTTTCTCTCTACTCTTTGGAATCTCTTTTTCTTTCCTTGTACTTAAAATGTTTATTCATTGCAGAATTTAATTGAGAACAGAGCATTGATGGTTCAGAGAAACATAAGAATTCATGGACAGCTACAAAAAAAGAAAGAAAACAAGGCATCACCTTAAAAATTATTATTGTAGATATTTACTATGAAAGGGGATTGAAAAATGATACCTGAGCAATTATTTTTGAAATCTTTCTAACTTGGTTATGTACTCAGAACCTCCATCACTTTAAATGCTGTAGGTGACCTATGAAGACGTAGGAGTTGTTTCTAATATAAGAATGAGGAATGGTTTAAAATTTCAAAATTTCAGCTCCCTACATGTTCCTAGGGTGATTTTCCCAAGGGTTAATAAGGTCCTTTTTGCAGAAACGGTTAGACCATGCTTTTCGTTTTCAAGGTTTTCAAGACAGTCTGTATGTGTGTGTGTGTGTGTGTGTGTGTGTGTGTGTGCGCGCGCGCGCACGTGCCTGTGTGTGTATATGAATGAATGTGCACCAGCATTTACAATAACTATCTTGAGAATCCTCATGAGTTTAATTTCCTTTATGGCTACAATTTACAAAATGCTTTGTGACATTATACAATGGGAAGAAATTTAAAATAACGGTCCCTCTTTGTTAAAAGCAAAAGCAGCTCGGTACCCATCATGTGGTCAGCAAGGCAAAAACCACTTGTTTATTTGTTTGTATGAATCTAAATTCTTAGGATTGTCCTAAGATCTGTGCAGTGAAACAACAATCTCTGTTTTCCTAACAGCAGAATTCTTCTTTCAAGGATAAAATCAAAGTTATCCAGCAGTTCTGAAGAGAAAATTAAAGTAATAAACAAAGAATGAAAAGCACTCTAATTAAACAGCTGAACCTCCTTGACTAGTAAGCTGTTTGGTGTGTGAGACCCAACAGCAAAATAAAGTTAAGAAGAAGTTAATTTCCTACTATAATATTCAGAAAATATTCTAATGCAGTTCTAGAAAAATTTCCTGCTATAAGAATATTTCTGAGAATGAAATCCCCCTTTTTGAAAGTTTTCTTGCATCTTAAGTCCTAAAAGCAGTATTAATTTTTACCAGAAAATAGATTTCACTTTATTTTGAATCCTTCTTCAGTAAATATCCTCTTCCAACTTTCTTTAGGATACACCTATTACATGGAGCTTGGCAAGTTTTAAGTTGAGGCTTGAAACTGAAATTAGTTTCTCCACAGAAGCATTTGTCTCTCTCATTTCATGGATCTAGTGACAAGAAAAATATGCAAAACTGTTCACCTTCTCATTGATCTAAGTGGCATCTTTGCTTATCTTTCACTTATTCTACTTTTAGACGTTGCTGGTTTTGAGACCCTTGACATATGAACTTAACTCATTGTTTTATCATCTAAATGGAGTATGAAACTTGTCCTTTCACTTTCTCTCTTAACAATGGTGGTATTTACAAGGTGAGCCAGTTCTTGGGGGAAGTATTGCTCATGAGTCTTCCTACTGGATTTATCTCTGATGGGCTTTCAGTGCTATATGATAATTTGTATTTCTCAATTTGGGTCTTATTTTTCATGTGTTCAAGGAACTCCATAATCATCAGGCATCCGAAAATCCCACAAACCCAAACACTTATTTCTTTAATAAAGAAACTGAGATCTAAAGATCTTCAGTGACTTGCCAACCTCATGAAAATAATTTGGAGCAGAGCAGAGCATAGACTACAGATTTGCAGGCTTCTATTTCTGTTATTTCTACTACTTCATGTGGCCTCTTCTGAGGCCTAAATCATCTTACATGTGGTTACACCTTAGAAATGAACTAAATGCAAATCTGAGAATTTCAGTATTTTTTAATATCCATTTGATAGTCTTAGCTATTGAGTTGTTAGAACCTGTTCCACAAGCCGGAAGCGCAGGGTGGATAAGGTTATGATCTGTGGCAATGATTACCGACTTTCTGAGCCCCAGACAGGCTCTTCTGGGAAGAATAAAAATAATTGTAGTTTTCCCTGGATAAAATTAATTGTACATTACAAGTTCCTAAGATGAAGATGCATTCTGGTTCAGTTGGGTTTCTCTCTATCTCCCTTCCTGTCTCTCTTTTCATTCCAGTTGAGGTTCTGCCACCAAAACATTCAGTCCTTGAATGATAAACCCCTTTGACTCCAAAGGGAGCCAGCCAGCTTGAGTTTATGGCTCTGTAAAGACTTTCAGAACACTGGAAATGGAAAGTACTTTGGAGATAATCTCACCCACATCTTTCATTTCACTGACAAGATCCAGAGAGTTGAGCTGGCTTCTTCAGACTACAGATATTAACGGAGCCACAGCTATAACCTGGGATTTCTCCTTCATGATACACTTCTCTTTCCACCACTCCTTGATATAATGAGATAGTCATTACACACAGAGGGTCTTATCATGACTTATGATTTGATTTACAGCTTTTCAACTTTATGATGGTGAGAAAACGATAGCATTTAGTAAAAAAACATACTTTGAACTTTGAATTCTGATCTTTCCCTGGGTTAGTGATATGCAGGGCAATTCTCTCATGATGCAAGGCAGTGGCACCGAGCTACAGCTCCCAGTCACCTATACTATGATCACTAGGGCAAATGACCGATATACACTCACAACCATTCTGTACCCGTGCTACCATTCCGTTTTTCACTTTCAGCACAATATTCAATAAATTACATAATGTACTCAGCATTTTAATATTAAATGGCTTTGTTAGATGGTTCTGCCCAACTGTACACTAAGGTTAGGGTTCTGAGCACATCTACAGTAGGCTAAGCCAAACTATCATGTTCAGTAGGTTAGATGTATTAACAATGTTTTTGGGACACCTGGGTGGCTCAGTTGCTTAAGCATCTGACTCTTGATTTAGTCTCGAGTCATAATCTCACAGTTTCATGAGTTCAAGCCCCACATCAGGCTCTCTACTGACAGTGTGAAGCCTGCCTGGGATTCTCTCTCTTCCTCTCTTTCTTGACCCCTCTCCCACATATGCTGTCTCTGTTTCTCTCAAAAATAAATAAACTTTAAAATATATGTACTTCTTTTGTCCTAGGTAAGAAGTAGAAGTTTAAAAAAAAAGTGATAGTGTGTACATACTGCAGGTGTTTTTGTCTGAATTTATTTAGAAACGTGGATACAAATATGGAAAGATTTACAGTTTTATTTCATTCACTAAATCAATTCTTTAGGATTTTTCAGTTATCACAGTAGAAGTTTATTGTGCTGCTTCTATAATTATAATAGGTACGACAGAAAGTTTTTGGCATAGAAAACATCTCTGTTATATTAAATTCATTATTATTTAATGAGAAGGAAAGTACAATCAATTAATTTATGTTTCACCTTGCTCCAAAAACTTTGAGGCAACTAAAATATATGTAAATGCCAAATGAAAATGATCAGGTGTATGTTGTTTTCATGGTCACTGTGTCAGAGACAATTGTAGGTGCTCATTTGTTTCCTTTTCTTCCTTAGTACATAGTATAAGTACATCTCCCAGCCTACCCCACCTTTATATGGGTACAGGATACTGAGTTTTGGTCAACGCAAACAGAAGCAATATATACTTTAAGACCTGGTAACTGGTAACCAATCTTGTGATCTCGACATTCAATTTCTGCTTGTCTTCCAACTAGATGCAGAAGATACAGTAGAGTAACATGGGTTCTTGTCAAAGACATATATATTAATGAAAGACACAGGGTGCCTGCGGGGCTCAGTTCAGTCAGAACTAAAGCGTCTGACTTCAGTTCAGGTCATGATCGCATGGTTCATGGGTTTGAGCCTGCGTTGGACTCTGTGCTGACAGCTCAGAGCCTGGAGCCTGCTTCAGATTCTGTATCTCTCTCTGTCTCTGACCATCACCTGCTCTCTCTCTCTCTCTCTCTCTCTCTCTCAGATATTTAAAAAAAAGAAAAAGAAAGAAAGATATTGGTCTCTAGTTTTCTCTTCTGTAGGGTTTTTGTCTGGTTTTAATATTTGTCTCCCTTAAACTGCAAGTGATTTTCATAAGTGTAAGACACAAATGTCTGCAGGGTGCCTGAATGGCTCAGGTGATTAAATGTCCAACCCTTGGTTTTGGCTCAGTTCATGATCTTACAGTTCATGGGATCAAGCCTTGCATCAGGCTTTGTGATTACAGTGGAACCTGCTTGGGATTCTCTCTCTCCCACTCTCTCTACCCCTCCCCTGCTCTCTCTCTCACTCTCAAAATAACTAAACAAACTTAAAAAAAAAAAAACCTTCTGTTGTATTAAGATATTAGGTTGTTAGTTGGCATAACTGTAATGTGATGTTGGAGTCTTCATTTCCTGGAAGAGTTTTGCATAATTAGTATCATTTCTTGCATAAAAGATTAGTAGAATTCATTAGTGAGTCATACTCCTTCTCCTTCTCCTCCTCCCCTATCTGCCCCCCTCCTCTCCCTACCCCTCTTTCTTCTTCTTTAAATATTCATGGCACTTTTAAGGTTACTTTTTAATTGAGTGAGGTTTGGTGGTTTATGTCTTTCATGAAAACCATGCTTACTTTGGAAAAAGAAAAGAGAGAATCTTTGCTTATTTACTTGTTTGTCTTCCCCATTAGATTGTTATAGTTTCCTTGAGAGTAAGGCAACTGCATTTTATTTTTAAGATTCCAGATCCAAGTATAGTGTGCCTATATGGTAAATATTCAGTTAATATTTCTTGAATAAATAAAAAGGTGGATGAATTTTTAGTGGGTCCACGAGGAGCATCATAGGGGAAATCCAGAGATAGATCAAGAGAGATTAAGATAAAAAAAAGAAGCAGCAGGGGCACCTGGGTGGCTTAGTTGGTTAAGCGGCCGACTTTCGCTTAGGTCATGATCTCGCGGTTCGTGGGTTCGAGCCCCGCGTCGGGCTCTGTGCTGACTGCCAGCTCAGAGCCTGGAGCCAGCTTCAGTCTGTGACTCCCTCTCTCTCTGACCCTCCCCTGCTCACGCTGTCTCTCTCTCTCTCCTAGAAATAAATAAAACATTAAAAAAAAAAAAAAAAAAAAGAAGCAGCAGCCCACAAAGAAAGACAGCACAAACATAATCAGGAGGAGCGAGGGCAGGGCCCAGTGAGGGAATTGCAGAGTGCATATCTTGGGGCATTGAGGTAGAAATTAAGCTGGATTAAGATAAGCCAGAACTAAGCCAGAGGGTTTACTGAACAGAGGAGCTTGGATATTAGTCTGTGTACACTGGGAAGCCATTGAAGGTTTTTGAAAAGGGGAGTTCTAAGAACTCTCCTGTGTTTAAAAAGATGTTTCTGGGGGCACAATGTGGGACTGATTAGAGAACACAGAGACAAGAGGCAATGAAAGCAGTTCGGAGGCTGCTGAAATACTACTTCAGCGAGCAATAATGGAAACTCAAACTTGGCTGTGCTAGGAGTGTAAGGGAAAGAAAAGAGACTTTTTTCAAAAGTAAGATTCTTAAGGTCTCTGCACTTGGATCAGTGGTAAATGAAGAGATGACAGGTAATCCTGAGTTTGGGTGGACAGTGATGCCATTAACTAAGACACAGTTACCAGTCAACGGGCGGTTTTGCTGCAAAGAGGAACCGTAACCACAGCCAAACAGAGGGTTCTGGAACTCAAGAAAATTGAATATTGTGCAGCCACATGTGTAGTAGTAAAAGCCAAAGCCACTGAGATAAATGAGAAGAGTGGATGGGAAGATGCCCTAGGAATGGAGCAAATACTCTATATGTGTAGAGAAAAAATAGAAAGCCGGTGACATTCTGGCAGAAGAGGAGAAGAGACAGGAAAGCGCAGAGATGTGAGTGTCTTTCAAGAAAGCATTTCTTCTCGAAAGATGTATGAAGAAATGTTTCAAAGATGAATCAAAGGCAGATAGATTCTAATTTGGCTTTATTTCTTTTCTGAAAATTAACTTATTTTATCACAGCATATTACTTTTTCGAAAAAAATGTTTATTTTTGAGACAGAAAGAAAGAGTGTGAGTAGGGGAGGGGCAAAGAGAGAGGGGGTGGAGGATCCGAAGCGGGCTCTGTGCTCACAGCAGAGAGCCTAATGTGGGGCTCGAGCTCAGGCACCACGAGATCATGACCTGAGATGAAGTCAGACGCTTAACCAACTGAGCCACCCAGGTGCCCCTACCACGGCATCTTAAATTCTTCTTATTGCCTTAAAGCGAATAAATAATTTAGATTTTGATCATGATTTGAATGTCAGCCACTTGGCTTCTGAAATCAGCCAGTAAATCAACAAAAGCCAGAAGTCTCTGAATTTTAGTGTTCAAATAGAATCTAGAAAGTTAAAAATCACTTAGCATTTCGATTTATCATTTGATCATCTAATCAAGTTAATATTTAAACATTTTTTTTCCCTGTAGAGTTTGGAAAGACAGAATCTCAAAAGTTGGGGCACGTTCTGAAAAGTGTAGTTTAAATGTCATTGAATGTAAGGAAAGGAGTTCCAGTCAGAATAGAATAGCAGACTCACTCAGCTACGTCATACAACACATACATGATTTACACACATGCGTCATGGGTACTGATTTCTTTTCAGCGTGAATGCCCAAACAGCATCCTTAACTAGTAGAGAGTTTTAAGCTTTTCCACCTATTCTGTGATTTCTGCAAAAGAAACACAACTGCTTACTCGCCTTTCTTTTTGTTTGGTTCCACATTTATTTCAGCAGCGCTCAAGACTGGCTTTCCTCCACGCACCAACATAACTCCAGAACTGAAATCCGGAGTTTCCCTCTTCTGGATAAAAAAGATAAAGACAAAAGCCGTTTTGAACTTTCTTCTTTGCTGACCTATTAAGGCACTACAGCAGACCCTACCTTTGATTACTGATGCGGGTCTACGGTGGTCATCAAATATTATACAAGAAACTGTTTACATAGCAGCCCTTTTTACAGGTTTTAAATCTTCCCGAGCTGCCAGCTGGCAGACAGAGAGGTGCTTGTGTGCTAGTTGATTGAGGTAATTAACAGCCCCAACTGTCAGAAGGTGACAGCAGGCACAAAGTTCTTGCCCTGGGGTCACAGCTGGACTCCAACAACTTGCTCCTGATTTACCAGTAAAGCTAATAACGTAAGTAATATTGGTATTAAATTATAAAATCAAGGGTCAAATGAAAATTCTGGTTTGTGCCACAAATTCACTAGCAGCAAATTAGCGATAATGTCCTGTAGTTATTCTGCCCTCTTAAACGACCCCGGGAAAAATCCGCAAGTATCAGTTTTGGCTACAATATGTGGATTTTGATACGCTTAAAGAAGCAAGGTGGTGTCTTTCACTTGGATTTCTTTCCATACATGTAGCTATTAATAGGATTTAAGTTTAATGTTTAAGAAAATATCCTTCCCAC